CTGTTTCGGCCCTTGTCTCTCGACCTCAGGTAAGAGCGCCTTTGCAGCCCGTAATAACTCATGATGTATTGTTAGAAGCGTCGAATATTGACGATGAAGAAGAAGAATTCGCGTCGTAGAGGATACAATGGCCAGGTTGAATGGTGTCATCGAAGCGGCCACGAATAGGCTATCAGCCTTGGAAGAGCACTTGGCGCGCAATGTACGAGATTTGCAGGATTAAGCGGAGGCGAATCGCCGTGACCAGTGAAGGAGATAACTTTCATATGAATTTTGAAATATGATTGTTCGAATGATAAAAGGCACACCACCTCGAACAAGCTGATCATGGTCAGGCAGAAGTGCTGCATTTGATAACCAAATCGAATCTTACAAATATAACCTGAATTTAGGATCCCCATATGCGCATCATGCTTGTCTTACTGAACGATGGTGGGATATGTATAGTCGCCGTGCCGAGCTCTTGTACGAGGGCTCGGCAAATTACAAATCTCTGTCAAAACGTGAGTATATATCGTGTACATAATCTTAGAGACAAACTCAGCTTTGCTGCGAGTGGGTCTTGTCCGTACGAGGCTCGGGCCAATCCTATCTGGCAATGACAGAGTTACTACCAACAAGCCACCCGATCCTTTCGAGCCTACAAGACAACCTACGGCAGCATTTCTAAGATCAGTCATTTCGGGATAAACCAGACAGGACGCTTGGCAGCGATACGTCGGTTTTTGGCAAAAGCACATCCTACATCATTTAATTGTCATGAGTGTGAACAACAGAAGACGTACGTTCCAGCGTGTTGGGTCACCTCGGGACTCTGACTCTGTATACAGTTCCAGAGGGCATAATCACCAGAGAAGGACGTGTCCACTAGCAGAATTCAGCACCAAGGTGTCCTGAAATCCACTCAAGCCGTCCTCCAATTCATCTGCAGCCTGGGATGCAATACGACGAGACAACGTCGAAGTGGGCCAATCTAGAAAAGTGATGAATGCGCGTATGTGAGGTCCTAGAGTCTGGTCGGTAATATTGATGTCCCCCATAGTAGCAGCATCGTTGCTCTTCAGGAGCCAACCGGTGTCATTTTATATAGCCGACGAGTGCACATAACAAACTAGACTCTTGTGAATAGTACTACGCTTGCTGGTAAACGCATGCCATGGACTATTGTTACTCCATAGAATCAAGTCAACTGTGGCCGTCACTGCTTTGGAGGTCATATATATAAGGAGGCAGGTCGCTCTGGCTTGTTCTCATTAACATCGAGTTTCTTGAATTTGTTTTTATTCCGGATTTTTATAGGTCCGTCAGGACCTACGCAGTGGCTATTCTATGTAATGATACATGCGTTCAGAAAATTTTACATTGATGATTGGTAGTAGTGTCCAGGGAACCATTACATGCGTAACGATGAGCCCAGACTGCATCATATGTCGCCCGTCCTGGGACTGGGGTGAGGTTGGAATGTCAGTTGGTAAACCTGCCGGAATCAGGACACGCTTGTCAACCTTGCGGTTGAACAAGTCAGAACCCTAACTAACTCCAGTGCCCGACTGATGCTTGATGAGGAAGACAGCTGGTGTGGTAGATAACACTTGGACGATTGGCTGGAAGAAAAAGCCAGGTCGAGGGGAGACGACCGACTGGTAGAGAAGCCAGGCCGAGGGGAGACGACCGACTGGAAGAAAGAGTCAGGTCGAGGGGAGACGACCGACGAGTAGAGAAGCCAGGTCGAGGGACGACATGACTGGGTAGAGAAAAGCTTCAGTCGAGGGAGACGACTGAACTGGTAGAGAAGCTCATCGTCGAGGAGACGACAACTGGCAGGTAAGCCAGGCCGAGGAGACGACCGACTGGAAGAAAGATCAGGTCGAGGGAACGACGACGACAAAGAAGCCAGGTCGAGGAGACGACCGACGAGTAGAGAAGCCAGGTCGAGGGAGACAACCGACTGGAAGAAAAAGTCAGGTCGAGGAAGACACGACCGACTAAAAAAAAGAGTCAGGTCGAGGAGAGACGACCAACAGCTCGAGTCGAAAGACGACTCGAACTAAGCCAGGTCGAGGAGACAACCGACTGGAAGAAAAATCAGGTCGAGGAGACGACCGATTGGTAGAAAAAGCCAGGTCGAGGAGAACGACAACTAAAAAGAAAATCAAATCGAAAGGAGAGACGACCTGGTAGAAAAGCCAAATCGAGAGACAACAACGGAAAGAAAAAATCAAATCGAGGGAACATGCTCCGACTGGAAGAAAAAAATCAAATCAAAGAGGAGACGACCGATTGGTAGAGAAAACCAGGTCGAGGGAGACGGCCGCTGGCAGAAAATCAGATCGAAAGAGAGACAACCAGCTGGAAGAAAATCAGGTCGAAAGGAAGATGTCGACGATCATCGCGCCAAATCAAAGAAGCGACTCACTCGAAGAAAGATTCGAAGGACTGGTCAGAAAAATGCCAGGTCGAGAGGAGACGACAACTGGAAGAAAAAGTCAAATCGAGGAAGAGGATCAAATCAGGAAGAACAGAAATGGCAGTCGAATCAAAGACGAACTGGAAGAAGAAAGAATCAGGTCGAGGGGAGACGACCGACGAGTAGAGAAGCCGGGTCGAGGGGAGACGCCCGACAAGTAGAGAGAGCCAGCGGAGGGGAGACGACTGGGTTTGTGCGGTTGGATGACCAGACACCACGAAGAGATCCCTCAAACAGCGAGTGCAACCTTGGCGGCTGCACAATCAAGGAGCCAAAGATCAAATATTAGTCAGAAAGACTGTTTTAAGGTCGTTCCGGGCCCCGTTTCAGTGATAGCCAAAGTATGAGTCTCGTTATTTTCGCGGCAAAAATGTACGTACTGTTTGATCGAGTCATCTAGTACCGCTGCAGGCAACTATCTACGCCCTCATAGAGCAAGATTTGTACCTCTCAGGATCCAGGACGCTGTGAATGGAGGCAAGGGGCGTATCGTCACAGCCAATAGGACTTTCAATGAGCTCAGGACGAAGAGGACAAAAGCCACAGACCTCTGCGATAGAAAACAAGGAGTCGCCTTATAAGACAGGGGGACGCACATTGTCTGGACGGATGGTAGGAGAGGGTCGAAGTTGCGAGGCATAGGGTTTGGCCACCGGATAAACAAAAGAATAACTACCATCGATATCCGAGGAGGCCAAGAAGCCGAGTTGCGACACTCCGTCGGATTCTGTGGGCTTTCTCCGTTTCTGGGTCTCATCCAGTCCTCCCTTTTCGCCTGTAGTTCATGCTCCCTTGTAGTCGCTCCCCCAGGTCCGGCCTGTTAATCGCATGAAATTAGTTGTGCCATTGCATTAGGAATTTGCTACTAAGCTTCCTCAGCTCTCGCTCCGTCTTTCGGTGTGTTGACTCGAGGCTCCTCATGCCCTTGAAGACACCGGGATCCGATCCGGCAGAAATCTAATAAGGCGATGGACCTGAAACCAAACTTGCACGTTGTAAATCTTCTCCTCGAGCACAATGCCTAAATATCAAGAGGCCAGTCGATTGAAGGCAGCGTCACAATATACAACGACAAGGCTACACCCCTTCCTGAGATGTTTCCTCCCCATACTCAACTTCAATCCAAGAAACGTCAGTAACGCCAACTGGTAGACCCTTCCATCGCCCCCCTAATCTACAAGTCCTTCGCACGAAGAAGTCCGGAGAATTGATCCGATGGACGAACTTGCAAGCCCATGGAGCGAGCTCGTTGCGATGCAAGGTCCCATGTTTGGGAATCTTGAACGCCTATACCGCGCATATCGTCCTCGTTTGCCACTCCATGAGGACACCTTCCAAAAAATTCGAATCTTCCTTTTGCAAAACAACATCTCCGACGACCCGGTCAAGGTGAAGGCCAAAAAAATGGTCCAGGAGCTTTGGGACCGCAACGAGCGGCAGTGGATTACGGATGCAACTTCAAGGCCTTGCGGCATCCGGGTCAAGAATGGGAAGCTGAACGAGGACGACGCCGACTCGTGGCACATTGTCCATCTTCTATTTCGCAAGTCACACCGGGTGTCAGCCATTCCCCACATCTGGCGCGATGCGTTGGTGCTTCTCAAGATAACGCAGCTTCCGAGCCATGACATGGAAGAACCTTTGATCAGTCTCGAGCGTTTGCAAGATCATCAGTGGTCTCCGTGGTTGTATAACCGGTCGAGAGCCCATTGCCTTTGAAGTCGTCGCGCACCTATTAGCCGCAAGCGGTAAGTCGCACAAGTGGCGAAGAGGAAGTTGGTTGCGTATGTGTGGAACGTGCTATGAAGAGCACGGAAGTTGAGAGCGAGCTCTTGTCTGTAGACAGCGTCTCGAGTAACATGCCTTTCTTTTCACTATGACACTTCGATGGAAATTATTCACCGTGCAAATATGATGCATAATGAAATTAATTCGATCGTAAGAAGTGATACCAAACCGTTACACACTGTCCAGATGTCAGGAGCGACAGGGAGATGAACAATAGTTCTAATAAACAGTGGGATCAACATTTGTGCGCATAGACAGAGATCGTACCTCTAGGAGTAACCCTGTCTTTTGTTTGGCAACTGCAAACTCAACCGATTGGAATGCATGGCATTGAGATGATGATAGAATGGGTGGACCTACCCTTATCGAAGTTAGCTACAAGGTCTGTAGCAATCTTGTTCCTGACGTTCTTGCACGTTTCTGAAGTGGTTGCGTCTGGTTTCGTGGTCCAGGTAGCCGATGTTCCTAGAATCCAAGATACGTTTATCAAAGAGGAGGGGTATTGTTGCGCTGATCGGGTGCCAGAGGAATGAGTGCAGAGCGACAAGTGTTGGTAGGAAAAGGAACCCGTGACGACGGCAGAGCCAAAGTAGTGGTATACAGCCCGCTCATGTCAGTTTAGGCCCTTGGGAGATTGGAACACGGCTGAAGTTGACATTACAATGAAAGCAGGGAAGACTTGAGGTCGAGCCAAAGGTTGGTCTTTGAAGCAATGTATGAATAGGATAGAACGTTGAGTTTGTGATAAACTCCACGATCGAGGAATTGAGATGAGTTCCAAGGGTAGATGGGTTTGAGGTCGAGAGTGTTCACTGCAAGAACCGAGCGAATCTGTACAGGCGTCGTCGTAATTGGGGGAGCATTGGCCTCTATTCGACAACAGGGTAGGACTTACGAGGTATATGCCTCCCAATTGACGTCAAGTTCTGAGAAACAATCAATTTGAGTCTCTCTGAGCATGATTCACACACCATGAACGTGCGCGGCGTCTAATCTCAATTATTTGATGCCTATATCTCCTCTCTTCAATTATAGGCGCCGTTGACCAGTCTAGCGTTCCATGATGGGCGTGTTTGCTTCAGAAGAAGAAGGTTGAATGGACTACAAGGCTAATACTACTATTGAGAGGACATTTAGGCTTGAAACGATTGAGGGATGAGCACCTACATGACTATCTGCGCGGGCGGGCAGACAAACCCTCGCCCATCCAGTGTATAGTCACCGGGAGGTCGACTATGTGGCCGTGAAAGGCCTAAGCATAGTATCTATTAACCATAAACCTCTTAATCAGGCCGAATACTTGCAGAATCGGACCAGCAACATTAGTTCGCTGTTATTGGTGCACTACCGGGCTATTCGTGGCTCCTGTTCTCCTCAAACGGTATTCGTGAGCTCATTTACCTCGTATTGATCCCTTCGTACTCAAAGGCCATCGGTTCTACCACGTCCAATCGCGTAAGCAGTGCGTTTGTGCTCGAGGTTCAGAGCACATGTCTTGAGGCATTTTTTAAAGCTTCTTCCCGCATTCGTGTACCATATTTTGCAGTAAAGGCAGAGCTACTGCCAAGCAGCTGCACGGCGCTCATAGTGGCGGGAGCCAAGTTATCGAATCACAGCATCCGTTTGTGCGACGCTTTGGGCGCACTTTGCTAGTTAGTGGAAACGCTACAGACACCAGAAAGACACATATATAGAGCACTATATTCACAATTCCTCATTTTCTTAGAGCTACGACAATTTGCCGCTCACAAGGTCTCTCTGGAACGGGTCTCATTAGGTGCCTTACAAGGCAATTGCCTTGCAAAGCACTTTCTAGTTTTCCGACAGGAGCTTCCACCTCTGCCTCAAAGACCGCATGACTATTGACGAGCTGTAGTGCGACACCACTGACTCGGCAGCAGGCCTCGATAATATTGCTATCCGTTAGCCCGCGGGGCAGAGGTATAAGCCCTGTTGAACCAAATAGTATATAAATACATGGGTGACTTGTCTCTTCATATTTGTGATTTAGTTCAAATAACCCGAGTCGCGCTCTCAAGGCCGCTCCACAGTTTGGCTTCTTAAGTCTAATGACGTCGGTGTGCCACTAGTCTATCGATGGTCATCCTTTGTACGACGTTTACGAGCTGAACAGGGGAGATAGTGAGCGTGAGCTGCATAACGGCATAAGGAAAAGTCTAGAAAGACTCTGAGTGGTAAATGTAAGATACATAGGATAACTCGCCTTGTACAAGGCGGCTGAAAAAGACTTGAACCCACAGAAGCGACAAAGTATCCTGACAAAGGGCAACTCGAGAGTTCTATAGGACGCGGCGTATAGCCATCATGCACAAAATAAGGTAATTAGAATCAGAGAAGTCCAATTGGTATCCTCGGCAAGAAACGCAATGCCGTCCGAGCCTACAAAGCATCCGTGGAGCGACTATTGCCTTGTTCGGGAAATAGGACGGAATATACATTGGAGAAGAGATCAGGGACTGGCTAGGAAGAGTTGCAAGAAGAGAAGTCAACGTCATCGTAGTCAGTCAGAAGCCGGTTCAACTCAGTGGAGTCGTTAGCGTTAAGCTCCATAGATACCATTACCTAAAAACAGCGTACGGATAAGCCTCTATATTAGGTATTCTGACAATATGGGAAGTCAACGACATTGGCGGATGGCAGAGTCAATATTTGTCTAAGAGAATCACCCGCCCGCCGTGACCGTAAGCCCAGACAAAGACAGGCTTGCGAGCTTTCTCGAGTCCGACGGTGAGTCCAAACGTTGATTGTAAGACAGTCTTCACCGGCAGGAGAAGGGTCTGGCGATTGTCCGGCTCCTGAGCCATGAGAGCCCAAACGCAGTCGCATTACGGGTGACAGAGGGCGTCAAAAGTGGCTTTGGAGCCAGAAAACGAAGAGGTCCAACGGGAGGTTGAGCGAATGGGATGCCCAAGTATGCGTTTGTCGCATTCGAGACGGCTTTACCTCGTATTTGCCTGAAGTGGTCTGGATAATGGGCACTGCGCGCTTGGAAGCCAGCTAACGCGAGTGCAAGCCACAGCGTGAGATTTGCAGAGAGTTAGGGGCCATTGTTGCGCGAGACGACGAAACATTGTGCTTAGTAGTCTTATAGGCTGCCCTGGATGTTGATTGCGGCTTCTTTATCGTCACAAGAGCAGTGTTACATAGGGCCAACTATGGGGCCTTTGAACGGATCAATGCGGCTTCTGATCTTCCGTTACTGGGCGCCGTTCATTCTCGACTATTGATATTGTAACATCGAGGTGAACCATCTCGAGTGTGTTGATCATCTGATCGAGGTTTTCAGGTGGAGTCGTCAATTCTCAAGATTCAGACTATGACAGGGCTCACCACTCCAACATGGGGTCCGTGCAATCAAATCAGGAAAATCAAGACTTGCCCTCTTCAGCAAAGTGATGTCGACTGCGAGCGGTGCAATTCGAATCTGCATACTCACAGTTGTGCGATCTATCCAACGCATACAACGTGAGAGGTACAACCTCTTGGCAAGCCGTGGATGCTGCAACTCTGTGCTCAGGTCCCATTTTCACAGCGTCCGCAATCCATGTGTACAAGTCGCCTGATCATCCACAGAATGCGGAATCCGAGCACCAGTCCTCGACGTCACCCCTTACTCCTTGTGTGACCTCACGACGCAATGGCTTCGTCTTCACGACCGTTCTAAACGACATTGAAATTTTGTGGAACCGGATATTGCGAGACCGAAGCCACGCCAAGAGCTGGCTATTGACTTTAGGCGCACAATAGAGAAGTGCGTTTGAAATCATTGACCACGAGAAGACGATACAGCCAGGTTTCAGGTTAAACGACAGACTAAAGGCCGAGACCCAATCCCGCACATCTAGAATCAAAAGAGGCCGGGTCTTCCAGTTGGATCGGATTCTGTAAATCAGTGCTGTTGTTGAATATGTCGACGAGTGCTACTTCCAGGCCCATTGTACTTCTTCCAACCAAGCGACAGAAGGCCATCACTGGGGTTCACGACAAAGGCGCTCCATGCCTTTTGCAAGTATTCCGTGGCTGCCGAAGCAAGGCCAGGAAAGGCATTGAATAGGACAATTTGATCGGATGCGTGCCAGGAGCGAAGAGGTGGCGGAGATAGCGCACGGAAAATGGCCATGTATCTATATCGATACACGGACACCAATGAAGAAGAATACCTAGATTCCCATTAGCGTGATGGCTTCAAGTCTCTGATTACGCACTTGGACTGCTGGCTGTCGTAGCACCTGAAGACGGACAGTCAACAGATCCGAAAAGTCTCGTTCAGCGTGTTTGTTGTCCGTCTACAACGAGAATGTCGCCTTCATTGTCAGTTGTCCCAGTTAACAACGGCTGAACAAAGTGTCAATGACAAGAGTAGACGGTGGTTCGCTGGCTCACAATTTTCGCAAACTTTCCTGCGCGACCTCTGGATTTGTACTCGGATTTGGAGAAGAGTGTGGTATTGTCGACAAACGGAGCAATTCCGAGTGTTCGTAGAGTTGAGCGCGTCCGTCAGTTGGGCAGCGCTTTTGTACATGCAGTCGAGCTGTGCTTTATAGTCTTTCCTTGAAGAGAGCACCCAACAGCGCTCGCAATATTGAGGAACGGATTGGGTCCTGCGGCTGGGAGACCAACAATTGGGATTGGAGGAGGGTCAGCGCCATGGATGCCTGTCCGCTCATAAGAATGGCACCGCGAATAGGTGGTCGGGATTCAAGCGTAGAGATACGCAGCGATACTCCACCCAAGACTGTCCTCCAAGCGTAATCTGAGCCGGGTTTCCACCAAACGCTGCAATATTAGCGACGACCCATTCAACAGCGGTCCGTTGATCTCGGAGCCCAGCATTCGTATCCTTGTTTGGAATGGCTGGAGAGTTGCATAGCCAAAGACGTTGAGGCGATAGTTGAAGGACACGAAGACAACCTCTGGATGGCTGGTCGACCACGAGGTAAGATCATTAACTACGGTGTATCAGCTACGACACCTAGGTCGTAGAGAACGTACGCGCAGATCCAGACTGTCCTGAGTTCCAACCGCCACCATAGATCCAGATGAGGACGGGCTTTAGCCTCGGAGAGAGAGACCGGTGAAGTCCAGACATTGATCGTGAGACAGTCCTCACCAGAAGGAGATGGATCCGTGGATTCGCTCTAGCTGGATACAGGAGAGGCCAAATGGGTGGCATTTCGTGGAGGATGGAGTCAAGAGAGATCGTGGCGCTAGAAACGAAGTGGCCCAACGGAGGTTAGGTTGAGCATAGGAATGCCCAAATAGGCGTTGGTCGTATTCGAGACGGCCTTTCCTTTCACTTTGCCCGACGTTGTTTGAACGACTGGAACTGCCTTGACGAGGCTAGCAATAGCGAACGGAAGCCACAACACGAGTATCTGGAGAGTTTTGGGGGTCATCTTTCAGTGGTCAGACTCTACAAACTCTTCGCTCGTCGTTTACCGTCGTCCTCCTATATGGTCGTCGCAATCCACCTTCAAACCAACTCTCCGGCGCGCGCTGTGTCAGGTTCCACTTCTGGCGTCGGTGACTCGGCGATGTATTCAAGTGGAAGACGTCGACTACTGAAGCCGAGGATGCCGTATCGACATTCGAGCATGTCTGACCTGCGGAAGCTTGTACAATGAGTTTGAATTGAAAGAATGGAGTATATATACACTGAAAGAATGAGTAAACTCGACCAGGGGAAACTGCCATCAACTGCGGGCCTCAAGCAAAGAGGCGCTTCGTATAGCTGTGCAAGCCGTGAACGCCTCCTTCGACCTGAGCACTCGCAGTCCGCAGCTCGAAACGCACAACCCCTGCACGTACAGCCTCTTGGAGAGCTGCGATCGACTGTTGACCGGCGTCCTGAAGTGAATGTTGTAGTCCTGTGTGCAAGTACCTTTTTTCCACAAACGTTAGTAAGCCAGTTTCGACTGAGACTCTGGATGTTTGAGATTACTCACGGGAGGAATTTGTGAATCGAGCCCTTGTCCTGAACGTCTCCGCTGACACCCTGTGCGACTTTGACCGCAGACGTCTCGGAGAAGTATCGAGCCGTCGCTGCATTTCCAGTCTCCTTTGCGCCGTTGACTTTTGGGCCACCTTTTCTTTGTCTCACCGGTTGGGGACCAGGTGCCTTTGCACCGACGCTGCGCTGCTCCATAGCCTCGATGCTCCCATTCCACGATACGCCTTGACTCGTTTGCCCTCGTGGTAAAGTACTCTCCAAGGCCTCCTCTGTACCGGCTAAGAGACCACCCATCATGACAGCACTCGCACCCATTGCGAGTGCCTTGACGATATGACCAACATTGGATATGCCTCCATCCGCAATGACTGGTACGCCAAACTTGGATGCGAATTCGGCGACTTGGTAGACGGCTGTAGCTTGCGGACGACCGACGGCCATGACCTCTTGGGTGATACAAATCGACCCACTACCCATACCAACACGAAGGGCATCGGCTCCTGCATGAATAAGCTTGGCAGCCTGTTCACGCGTAACAACGTTTCCGGCTACAACCTCGAGATCTGGCCATTTTTGTTTGATCCATTGGATCATTTCAATCTGATAGATCGAGTTACCCTGACTCGAGTCTAGGATGACAATGTCAAGCCCTGCTTCCACGAGCAAGGCCAGACGATCGCGGTCAGCTAGGCGCGTTCCGATTGCAGCCGCAGCAGAGCTGCTTTAGTCAGGGACGCTTCGAGGAGAGGGGAAAGTTTTGGTTTTTGAGCAAGTCGGAACGGGCGAGAAGGGAGACGGCGTCCAGACGCATCGACGATGGGAAGTTTTCCCTTTTTGCAATCTCTGAGTACGTTATTAGCCTCGAGGAGCGTGACTCCAGAGGGAGCAGTGACGAGGTCGGTGGTCATGATCGTTTTGAGTGGCGTGGACGGGTCGTGGAACTGGATATCGCGAGAGGTGACGATACCGAGTAGCTGACCACCTAGGGATCCCGTTGCTATTCCCAAGGCGTTAGCATCAGCACGGACAGACACGAAGGATCAGGGACCAAAAAAAATAAATCTCCGCACATCACATCCGAAAGGACGTTGGTCGGAAGAACGAAGGTATGGTATAGAGTTTCTCATCACAGGCGGAATAACAGAAACAAGACGTACAGGTGATGGGGATACCGCAAAAGCCAAGTCGAGCTTTAATATCCAAGACATCGGCGACCGTGTCATCTGGACCGAGAACGACAGGATCCGAGATGAATCCATTTTCGTGACGCTTTACGGCGCGTACCATGGCTGCCTGTTCCTCGGCAGGCTGGTTGTAGTGGATTACACCGATGCCGCCTAGAAGCTAACGTGGAGAGTTTACTAAGCAAAAGTAAAAGTAATCAAACGTGGTTTACACCGCCATGTTGATTGCCATTGCTTTTTCCGTGACAGTGTCCATGGGGCTACTCATAAACGGCGTTTTCAAGACGACCCGACGCGTAATTCGGCTCTGTGGAGACGACACTGGCTGGGAAGTCGATGTGACCAGGAAGGAGCAGGAAATCGTTGTGGTGAGCCGCCGTGTTTGATCGAGCTCATCAACTGGGCAGCCGAAAGTCCATCACGGTCTTCATACGTCGTCGAAAGATGCTCAAGAGCAGTTTTAGGGTCAAGAAACTGAGACATGGCTGCGGACGAAACGAAGAGCAAAAGACAAGGACAGGGTCAAAGAGGGCTGACAGGGTCGGACCACGAGATCGAATTTTGTGGTGGGGTTCGATGGAAAACTTCGAAAAGACAAGATCCGACGAGATTTTATGTAATAGAAGTGTAATTGGATAATTAGCATGCTCAAATTGTACATTATGCTTTCGACCTTTAAACCTAGGTGCGTTTGTTCGCCTCCTTTTCGACCTTTGATGCTGTATCCCGAACACCTGCAGCACTCTTCTCTTTGGCATCCTCGGCCTTGCCCGAGCCCCATGACCACCACGAAGATCCAGTGGCTTTTGCAGACTCGACGGTTTGTTCTGTTGCAGCCTAGATGCGCTTAGTATCATCGTGTACTAAGTATAGAGATGGGCCTACCTTTGTCTTGTCAACCGCCTCCTCTGCCTTGTTGCGTGCCTGCTCGTAGCCACGGAGAGCGTTCTGAGCATCATGTCCATGCTTTTCAGCCTCATATTTCGCCTTGTCAAGCTTGGCCTCGCCCTCTTTCTGTGTCATTGATTAGCCCTCACGTCTTCATGGTCGAGCAGACTGTCGGACGTACCTTTGTGCTCTGGAGGATGCCTCACATTCCTTCTTCCATTTCTCACCCTTTGCTTCGGCAGAATGCTGGAGTTCTTTTGCTTTGGCCTTGAGCTCGTCGTCTTTGCCGGTGCTACTGAGATAGTACCATCCACCGCCTGCTACAGCGATTGCAGCGACGACTAGCGGGACTGTACTGTTGCCCGTCTTTGGTGGATTGCTGGCGGGCTTGGTCATTGTCGGTTGAGGACCCGGGTGGCATAGAATCGGCGAGGAGCCGTCGTGCGAAGAGTGCGTGCTGTTGAACGGAGCATTGACGTGGTGAATTTGAGAGTTGGAGTAGACTTGGTTGAAAAGACTCGACGCTGGCGAGAGGAGTTTAAGTGTGTCCTTGAAAGTGACGTCAATCTGCAGAGACGAGCGTCATCATCCCGCCACTTGAAATCGCCGGTAATGTGTCAAACAGCCGTGGAGAATAAGAATTTAGCAAGCGCGACGCAAAAAGTGGGAAATAATCGTGTTCTACGCTATGGCTTGATCGGTACAGTCTTCTTACGGATCGGCGGTCCCCACCTAGAGCACCGTTAGCATTCTGACAGTGAATAAAATACAATTACAACCCTCTCTGCGTCTTCTTTGGCTGTGGCTCTCGCGCATACACCTTTGGATCTTCGCCTTGTCGAAACTTTTCGAGACACCACAGGAGATACCTGTCGAGGTTGAGCTATATCAAAGCCATTTAAACTGTCTCCTACCTTCTTTCCTGGACGGTGAGACCCATCTTGTCCAGCTTTTGGCCGTTGAGTCGGAATAATTCTTCCCAGCTGAGCGTATCGACGTCAGGGAGTTTTGTTTCGCACTTACTTCTCCCAAATGCTACAAGCAAGCTCTTTGTGTCGTATCCTCCTGTTTGCAGTTGATCAGCGTGTCATTGCATGGCTGTAACTTGACCTACGCTTGTCCAATGGTACCCGCGTCGCCTCTTCCGACTTTTTCTGCTGTCGAATCATTTCAGGTGTCATTTGAAAAGGAGAAGGCGTGTTAGGGAACAGCCGCAGCTGGCTCAAACCCGCCAGTGCTTCCTTGTTTGGTCGAGTCCGCCGCGTATAGACGTCCTGGGAGCGCGTAAAACGCCTCGTATGACGAGTCTACGCGCGTGGAATTGGGCCACAAATGACATGGCCAGAAACGTCAAGGTGTCGTGGTGTTCAAACTTGGAGGAGCAACTGACAGGCATGTCGACGGCCCGAACCAGGGAAATAGACGACCTTTGACATGTCTTTGATATATTCCTTTGGAAGAATAAGTGGGCGGAACATCCACCAGGCTTGACGCCGACCACATCTTTCATCCGAGTCAGACCGCACTGATCATCACACACGATGCCTCCAAAGAAACAAAATGCACCGTCTTCATCAAAGGCTCCCGTCGACAAGGTCAGATATGACAACCAGAACCCAACTGCAGGCGCATACTGACCAATTGGACACTCTATCATCAATACGATGCACTATATAGACGTTTGGGATGAAGAATGTGTGTGCGAGCATACTTTAGACGACTCGCCGTGTTCACTAATCAGTCCGGATCGTGCGCTACAAATCCAGAAAAACAAGTCGGCCAAAGTGCAAAAGTATGTACAGCAAGTACAGAACGAACAAGCTCGAGCTGGCAAGACACCGGCTGCTCTGGCCAAGGAGAAAGAGAAAGAATTACGGGCCAAGGAAAAGGCGGCGGAGGAGAAGCGAAAGAAGGAGGAAGCAGAGCTGTTCAAGCCAGTTCAGGCGGTACAAAAGGTACCGTTTGGTGTTGGTGCGTGTCACGATTCTTCGTTTGCGGCATCTCAGCAGGGCTGTAGATCCCAAGACTGTCCTGTGCCTACTTTAAAGCCGGTACTTGTGACAAGGGAACAAGTGCAAGTTTAGTCACGACCTAAACGTCGGAGAAAGGTCGAGAAGAAGGATCTATACAGCGATGCGCGAGAGAGATAAGGAGAACGGTTTGTAGAATCTCTCTATGCGGAAGTTGGCTTACATAAAGTAGATACGATGGATAACTGGGACGAGGAAAAGCTACGAAAAGTCGTCCTTTCAAAAGCTGGGAATCCACGGACGACGACCGATATTGTCTGCAAATACTTTATCGAGGCGATTGAGACGAAAAAGTTTGGTTGGTTCTGGGAGTGTCCGAATGGTACGCAAGATCGTTTCGTCTCCCATCATACACTCATCTTTATAGGTCAGGACTGCATGTATCGACACGCGCTTCCGCCAGGCTTTGTACTCAAGTCGGAGAAAAAGGCGCTCGACGATGCGGCCAAGGCGAACACAATCTCTCTCGAAGAGTTTCTGGAAGTCGAGGTGGGCGATACCACTTCAATAGCTCATAGTCTTACATCCACTAGCGGCACAAATTGGGACCGAATCACACCCGTGACCCCGAAACGTTTGCCCAGTGGAAAAAACTCGACTAGACAAGAAGGCTGCAGAGCAAGAAGCGTTGAAAAAGCAAAGGAGACAAAATGCTGCTGGTCGCGTAAATGGCATGAGTGGACGAGACCTGTTCGACTACCGACCCGAGTGGTTTGAAGAGGAGATGACGAAGGAGATGCAGAAGATGCAGAAGGTGGTGGATGGGATATTGAGAGGATGCGAAAGAGACCGAGGCAGAGGCAGAACGAGAAGAGGAACTACGGATGGAAGAAATGCGAAAGGAGTTTGAAACAACGTCTGTATAATAGATCATCCTCTCTCCGGCTTGGGTTGTCGCCGTTGAGCGCAGGTACCAGGATCTATTGCAGGTTGAACTCGACACCGTCCGCGTTTCCTGCCAGAGGCCATCGACCGATTGAACAAATACTGAGAAACTCAATTTTACGCGTTCAACTCTGTTCAACCACGTATCATGTCTTACGGGCCTCTTGTTGGTCCGAGGACATTCGACAACTTGAGGAGTATTCTCTCTCTCCGCGAACGCAAGTGGTGGTTACATCCAGAACTATCTTTCTCTACGGGAGGCGAAGTTCCAGTCCCAGGTCCTCCTGTGGAGGAACAGCGCGTCATCATGTATCATCATCATGTGACGACATGCAGGACGAGTCAGTCAGGTACACATTGCTTCTTTCGTATGATCCTATCCTTCATCATGACGAACCATGGACCTGTTCAGTAGAGCCTGACTTATTACAGGAAGAGCAATCCTAGCCCCGGAGGTGGTTCGCTCTAGCGTTTGTAGAGATACCCCATTCAGAGGATTCGGATGAAACAGAGCAGGATTACTCTGCTTCACGTACGACACAGATGCTAGGATGACCGGGCGACTATAAGCTACTGCTCAACTTCTTTCATCACCTATACAACGGCTTGAACGACATCAGCGAGAAGGCTCTGCGACTCGTCAGCAATGCCCGAAAGAAACGGAATCTCTCCTATTCGTTGGGAGTACCCACGAGCGCACCGGCAAGGCGTACCGCTCGAGCGGACAGCGAGCCTAAAACAACAGGAATTGCGCAGGGAATTCACGACCTCGCGAGCAATGAGACTTTAGAGGTAAACAAAGGCTCAAGTGGCCCTTGCGACGCCACGAATCCGCCAGCGGGAAATGAGGATCACATTGATACAGCTGCCACTATGGAGCCACCCAAGATGTACTCTTTGAGTGCCCAATTGCCTGCTTTGGAGGATCCAATGCAGTGCAGCACCGGACAGTCCCGGATGAGGTGTGCAGACAGTTACCTAAAGAATCCGGTCTTTGCGTATGTGAAGAAGACAAACATAACCGCGACTAGGCCATAGAATATGGATAAGACGACTGTCAAATGACGGGTGTTAGCCATCGAGTCTATGTACGAGTAGATATAATGTACGACCCTCCAGGCGGGAAGCCAATGAGCATCCGCCCGTCCCTTCCAGCAGCGCAAGGATGACGCCCCAGAATACATAGCTACTCAAGCGAAAATGATAATACGACTGCTACAGTAAACTTGACATCGTCAGGAGTGAGCAATCGCAGCGAGCCTCGACGAAATAATAAGGAGTGTGTACAAGGAGCGCCAGGCGGGTTAAATGGTCGTTCTGGGCTCTTAGCACAATGGGTTTATGGTTACAAATGTAGTATACGTTGACATTCGTGTATGGGAACTGGCAGAACAAGGGTGAAACCGTGCACTCGTCCCCTGCTTCGATATTCAATGATGTAGAGTAAATAGATGCAAGTATTCTGTCCATTTTCTGTGATATGCCCCACCAGGAGACAGTCGGCGTCTGATAATTCAACCCGAGAGAGTGACAGACGCCATTCTTGGAACCATCCGCGTTGGCAATGCCACCTCAAAGTCGACCAAACCAAATCAAGATCTCTCTACTGCTGCAGGAAGATCTTCAAGCAAGAGGATCAACTACAAAATGCGGCCAGCATCGCACTGGATGTAATCGCAAATGTAGCAGAGGCGTCGGATATCCTCGCTCCTCTCACGGCAGCCTGTAGAACAACAAAGTCAATCATAGACGTCAAGCAAGTAAGTAGATACACCGAATACCACTGGCTGATCAACTAACAGACCATCGATGACAATCAAGGGGACTGGAACGACCTAGTACGCCGCCTGGAGCAATATATGTGGGCTGTCGAGAGCCAAATCGATTCTCTCGAAAAGTATCCTCCTGAGGATAGGGCTGTCGACGAGGCGTTCAGCCAGCCCCTCATTCATTATGTCGAGTAAGCCGGCACATCAACTCTGGCTCAGTCGACTGATTGATGCAGACTTCTCGAGGATATTCATTGCGCCATTGTCAATGATGCGCATAACCGACGCCGCACCAGCCGCAATGCTTTTACAGCCATCGGAGATGTGAGATCGACGCTGGGATGATTGTTAAATTCAATCAAGAAATCGAGGACCGACATAGGCAATTCATGGTGAGGGCTTCCGGTCATATAGTCAAAATCTGACCTGCGAAATAGGCCGCTTTGGATCTGTTCATTGGACACCGCGTTCAGGTCATCGAACGGAATACCAAGGCCACCAAGTCGGACGGTAAGCAAGGACTCGCTCAATAAGAGGCTCGCTAAAATGTCCAAGTCGATGCATCTTTCATATTCCAACTCCCCATGGTGGCATTCGTCCCATCCTCGGTACACACCACCTGTCTACAAGGCACACGTCAGGCTGTTCTCCAGACAATCCGGAACTGGGCCGAGGACGATACTTCGGATAAGCCAATATTCTGGCTTTGCGACATAGCTGGCTCTGGCAAGTCCACGGTCGCAATGTCAGTAGCGACGTTGTGCCGCACGGAGAGAACTTTAGGAGGCCAGTTTTTCTTTTCAATGTCCAGTAACGATACGTCGACCACCGAAAAGTTCTGTTCGACTATGGCAAGAGATCTTGTCCATCACATTCCAGAACTCGCACCGCACGTCGCCGATACTGTGAAGCGAAATCCTTCGATCATGCAAGCTCACTTGAAAAGCAGTTCCGCACTCATCACCGATCCTCCGCCATCGACGGAGGGCGTGTAGTTCTCATTGTCGACGCTATAGACGAGTGCAAATCCGGACCTCAGCGAAGGGAGCTTCTCGACACGCTCGCTAAAGCCGTTCAAGAAAGCAGGAACGTCAAGATCTTCATTACGAGTCGGCCAGACCTGTCATCGAATCAGTTCTTCAGCCACTCTCGATCAAATCTAAACTGGAAGACCGACTCCACGATATCAAACATCGTGACAACGTGGATGACATCGCGGCCTATATCCACCAATCACTCTACACCGTTCTGCCCCAGGACAAGAGGCAGCGGCTGATTGAGAAGTCGAGCGGATTGTTCATCTGGGCCAGTACTGCGTGTCGGATGCTCAATAACGAGGCCACGTTGGAAAGCCACGAGAGGATATATGATCGCTTAATCTCGGCGGACCAAACTGGAGATATAGATGATGTATACAAACTCATCCTCGAGCGCATACCCCCAGAACACAATGCCATGCTGTGCAATATGCTCGCACTGCTGCTTGCTGCATTCGAACCCCCTACCGTATACGATCTGGACGACATTCTCCAACACACCGGAATAGGCGGGAGTGCCAAGGCGTTGGTCCAAAGCCTTGGAAGCGTTCTTATCGAGGACAAAACAACAAAAACCATTCAATTTCGTCATCCTACTCTAGTCGAGTATTTGCGACGTTGCTGTATCGCTCCAATCCCCGAAAACCCGAACAAAGTCTACATCGACATCCACAATGCACATGGGCAGCTTTCGTCGTGGTGTTTCAATAATCTCGAATCACGAAAGGAAGGACTCAAGTTCAATATATGTGGAGTTGAGTCGTCATTCTACCGAAACCGAGATTTCCTGGATCTGGAGGCGAGAATATCAAGGTCTATTCGAAGAAACCTTCGATATTCCAGTTTACATTGGCCATTTCATATTGCCCAAGCAGATATCGAGTGGAGAAGCAAGCTCGGAAATAAAATCGAGCAGAGATTATTCGTGCGCCATATGCACTATATTGGATGGAGGTTCTGAGCTTCGTTGAAGTGTCTCGGGCCATTGACGGCCTTCGGGCCATGATACACAATACAGTGAGTGCCTCATTTCAGTACATTCTTGCCCTTGATTTAACACGACATGAAGACGGAAGAGAGAGGCTAAGTGTCGTATAACGGACTTAAGGCAGTTTATGATGGCATTTTCAGTACCTATTCAAGAAAGTGCACCGCATATCTACATTTCAGCGCGCTTCCATTCACGCCAACAAGATCTACACTACATATTGAGGGCCTAACGATGCATGGAAACACCCTCAATGTGACCAACGGGCAGGAGAGATGCCGGGACTTCCAGAAGCGCTTCGAGGACATACAAAGTCTGTGACGGCGATCGCATTCTCACCAGACGGCTTGCGAATCCTCTGGCTCAGAGATAATACAATTCGACTATGGGACGCGGAGACTGGTCAGTCATTAGGCGAGCCACTGCGAGGTCACACAGGCTCGGTCAATGCCGTCTCATTCTCACCAGACGGCTCCCAAATTGCCTCTGGGTCTAACGATGAGACAATTAGACTATGGAATGCGGAGACTGGCCAGTCGTTGGGAGAACCATTCCGAGGCCACCAAGGCTCGGTCAATGCCGTCGCATTCTCACCAGACGGCTCCAAAATTGCCTCTGGGTCTAACGATGACACAATTCGACTATGGGATGCGGAGATGGCCAGCCGCTGGGAGAGCCACTTCTAGGCCACACACGGTTGGTCAGCGCCGTCGCATTCTCACCAGATGGCTCGCGAATCGTTTCTGCCTCATTTGATTCCACCATTCGACTATGGAATGCAGAGACAGGCGAGTCCCTGGGAGAGCCGCTTCACGTCGGACATCAATACGTCATTGCCACCACCTTCTCACCAGACAGCTCGCAAATTTTGTCAGGCTCACGTGATGGCACGATTCGATTATGGGATATGGAGACTGGCCAGCCGTTGGGAGAGCCACTCGAGGACACACACGCATGGTCAGCACCGTCGCATTCTCACGAGCAGGCTCGCAAATAGTCTCTGGGTCGGATGATCACACGATTCGACTATGGGATGTGGAGAGTGGTCAGTCATTGGGAGAGCCACTAGGAGCCCACACGCGCTTGGTCACCTCTGTTGCATTCTCACCAGACGGGTCGCGACTCGTCTCTGGGTCGAAATCACACGATCCGACTATGGAACGCGGAAACTGGCAAATCGTTGGGACAGTCACTCCACGGCCACACAGACACTGTCACACTACCGTTGCAATCTCGCCAGGAGGCTTGCAAATGGTCTCTGGGTCGGTGGATAAGACGATTCGACTATGGAATAGGAGACTGGAGAGTCAGTGGGAGAGCCGCTCCGAGGCAGTACTCACTCAGTCACAGCGGTCGCATTCTCACCAGACGGCTCGCAAATTGTCTCTAGCTGGAATCAACGCACGATTCAACTATGGAACGGGAGACTGGCCCACACCATCGGGACCCACTCCAAGGCCATACACATTGGAGTCAACACTGTTGCATTCTCACCAGACGGCTCGCAAATCGTCTCTGGGTCATCAGATAAGACGATCAGATTGTGGAGCGTATCCACTGGCCAGTTGTTGGGCGAACCACTCCAGGTCACACACAGAGTGTCAATGCCGTCGCATTCTCACCAGACGGCTCCCAAATTGTCTCTGGGTCAAATGACGAAACGGTTCGGCTATGGAGTGTGGAGAATGGCCAGTCTTTAGGAAGTCCCTCTCCGAGGCCATATATGGGCAGTTCTCGCGGTCGCATTCTCACCGGACGGCCTGAGAATGTCTGGGTCAGGTGATAACACGATTCGCCTATGGAATGCGGAGACTGGCCAGTCGTTGGGGAGCCACTACGAGGCCACACAGGCTTAGTCACCACTGTCGCATTCTCACCAGACGGCTTGCAAATTGTCTCTAGTTCGTACGATAATACGATTCGACTCTGGGACGCGGAAACAGGCCAGTCTTTGGGAGAGCCACTACGAGGCCACACAAACTCGGTCAATGCCGTCGCATTCTCTCCAGATGGCCTACAAATCATGTCAGGCTCAACCGACTGCACAGTTAGGCTGTGGGACGCAGCATTTGGTTCGTTTCTTCATTTCCTTTTCACCGTGACGCCAAAAGCTCATAGATCTCCTAGTTGAGGTATTCAGTCGGGATGGTTCCTGAGCCGCTCAAATCAGAGTGGCATCATCTTCGATCAAAATTCCATGGCTTCACTCAGAGCCATGCTCTCTGGCTTCGAATATTTCCTCTCTGATGATGGTTGGGTGCATCTCTCCTCCGGAAACTTCTATTCTGGGTACCACCAAACAATCGGCTCGCACTAGCGGCCCCGCTACTGCTAACCATGCCGACGTCCAGCCCTCCCTACCCAACCAAAATAGATTTCACTCGTTTCGAGTGTGGCGCCTCTTGGACAAAAGTTCGGGGTGGCGTCAATCAATGAACTGTAGTGAGCGAGAACAGGATCATGATTTTACTCTCATGCTTGCGAGTCTCAGCTAGTAAGCCCCATCGTCTTGCGGTCCAAACATCCTGGGATGAATAGTTCCATACCATGACCATCGTGTTCAATCCGTACCTGTTCGTATTCTGGAACAGCTATATGTCGGAAACATATTCTCATGTTTGACTGTTTCCTTCGTCCTCCGTGTCATCTTCTTGGAGACCGACCGACTCGTGCGTGAGTCGTTTCGATACTAGGCCGACATTCCGATCCAGCTGCATTGTGTGATAGAGGCGTGACATTGCAGGTACTGGTCTGATGCGGGCGCAACTGCAGGTTCTGTCAAGGCACTGCCCATGGGTCAGGTGGCGGGTCAGAGGCTAGAGGCGGGTCGCTCTTTCTGCAAAATCCCGGCGAAACCCGGTCAGTGAATATCTGAAATTCCTGTCAGAGATATATTAGGAAAGAGCGAAAATGCCGACCTTTGTGTATGTGAACAAACATAGCGGCGAATAGACAATAGAATATGGATAAGACGCCTGTCAAATGACGAATATTGGCCATCGAAGGTGCATGCGAGTAGATATAATGTACGAACTTCTCCAGCCGGAAAGCCAACGAGAGCGTTTGCTCGTCCCTTCCAGCAGCGCAAGGAGGATGATGCCCCAGAATACATAGCTAATCCAGGCGAATAGCGCTATGGCAACTGCTACGGTAAACTTGGCATCGTCAGGAGTGAGCAATCGCAGCGAGCCTCGACCGGGAATAGTGTACAAGGAGCGCCAGGCCGGGCTCAATGGTCGTCGTGGGCTCTTAGCATAATAACTCTATGGATAGATACAACTGTAGTATATTTTGATATTCACGTATGCAAACACGCAGAAACGGGGTGAAACTAAGCAGTCGCCCACTGCCTCGACAGTAGATGATGCAGAATAAGCAGATGCAAATATTTTGTCCATTTTCTGTGATATGTCCCACCAGGAGACAGTCGGCCTCTGGGCCAAGGTTGATGGTCGATGTGCTGCCTGTTGTTGCCCAGCTCGCAGAACACGCGGGCGAGAGTGGCAGGCGCCGTCCTTGGAGCCATCCACTTTGACAATGCCACCTCGAAAGTCGACCAAACCGAATCAGAGTCCCTCTACTGCTGCAGGGAGATCTTCAAGAAAGAGGGATCAGTTACAAACAACGGCCAGTATCGCACTGGATATAGTCGCAAATGTAACAGGGGTGTCGGATATCCTCGCTCCTCTCACGGCAGCCTGCAAAACAACAAAGTCGATCATTGATGTCAAGCAAGTAGACGCGCCCGGAATAGCACTGGCTGATCAACTGACAGACTATCGACGATAATCAAGGAGACTGGAACGACCTAGTACGCCGCCTGGAGGAATATATGTAGGCTATTGAGAGCCAAATCGACTCTCTCGAAAAGTATCCTCCAGAAGATAGAGTCGTCGACGAAGCCTTGCCAGCCACTCATTCGTTATGTCGAGTAAGTCGGCACATCAACTCTGGCCCTGCCGACTGATTTCCTCAGACTTCTCGAGGATATTCATTGCGCGATCGTCAATAATGCGCATAAGAGACCTCGCACCAGGCGCAGTGCTGTTATGGCCATCGGGAATGTGAAGATTGACGCTGGACTCATTCGCAAGTTCAATCGAGATATCGAGGACCGGCATAGGCAGTTCATGGTGAGATTCTCAGGCCATATAATCGTAATCTCACATGCAAAATAGGAGGCGTTGGCTCTTTTCACAGGTCATCGTATCCAGGTCATCGAACAGCACACTAAATCGACAGCGGCCAAGGTTGAAACAATCGTCTCGGACAGTAAGCTAAGACTTGTCTATAGACGCCTCGCTAAACACCCCAAGTCGATGCATCTTTCATATGCCAACTCCAGTCGTGGCATTCGTCCGTCCTCAGTCCATAGCACCTGTTTACAAGGGACTCGTCTGGATGTTCTCGAAAAAATCAAGACATGGGCCGAAGACGATACATCTGATAAACCAATATTCTGGCTCTGCGACGTAGCCGGTTCGGGCAAATCCACCGTCGCAATGTCGGCAGCGGAGACGTGGCGTGCGGAGGGAACCCTCGGAGGCCAGTTCTTCTTTTCAATCGCAAACAGCGAGACGTCGAATACCGAAAAGTTCTGCTCGACGAAAGCGGGTAGTTCTCATCGTCGACGCCGTGGATGAATGCAAATCCGGACCGCAACGAAGCGAACTTCTCGACACGTTCGTCAAAGCCGCTCGAGAAAGCAGGAATCTCAAGATCTTCATTACCAGTCGGCCGACCCTGTAATTGAATCAGTTCTTCAGCCACTCTCAATTAAATCCAAGCTCGAAGATCGGCTCCGATATCACTTACCGTGACAACATGGATGACATCGCCACCTATGTCCATGAATCACTCTACACCGTTCTGCCCGAGGACAAGCGGCAACAGCTCATTGAGAAGGCGCACGGATTATTCATCTGGGCGAGCACCGCATGTCGAATGATCAATAGCAAGACAGCATGGGACACCCCGAGACTATATACGACTGGTTGACTTCGGTGGACCAAAGTGGAGATATAGACGATGTATACAAGCTCATTTTGGGCGCGTAGACCCCAGATTCCACACGGTCATGTGCGGCATGCTGGCACTACTGCTTGCCGCATTCGAACCACTGACCGCCAACGACCTCGACAACATTCTTAAGCATATCGGACTACGCGGATACTCCGATGCGTTGATTC